CAGGAGGTCACTTCATACTCTGGCTTCGATACACTCCAGTTTGACTATTTCATCCAGCCTACAGCCCTCGACTTGGGCACAGTGGCTCAGGTGGGCACTTGGGCTCTCGGCACCTCGAGTTTTGGGGGTCTGTGGGCAGGCTGCTGCAGTCTGAGAGTCGGGGGAGTCGCATTCATCCGAGGTAATGTCTGGCACGTCGTCTGACTGACTGTCAGAGCTCTCCAGGTCACTCCGTATGCTCTCAGGTTGGGCCAAGGTGATGTCCCAGGTTTTGCTGGCAATGCAGTCCTTTTGCTCACAGCTTTGGTGTTTGCACGTCTGCTCCTGCTCACCATCCTCTTCCTCCTCCTCCTCCTCTTCCTCATTCTCTGCCATTTGGGTGTGGACATGCAGAGAGTCCTCTGTGCTGCTGCCACTGGCCAGCTGGTAGTGACTTGGTTTGGCTTCGATGTCCACCTGGATCTCCATGTTATTGCACTCCCTGCAGAAACAAGCACCCTGGTGTTACTGGGTATAGTTACTGGGTTTGACTGGGTCACCACTGGGCACTGCATCACTACAGGAGGATCACGTTTCCCAGGCATGAGCAAGATGCTGCTCATCACCCCCTGGCATCTGGGAAACAAAATCACTCGTTGAGTCCTCCTAAAAGCAGTCAGGATCATCCCCAGGCTGGGAGCCAGGACCTGAACTGGGAAAGTACCAGAGTCCCCATGAGCAGCCAAAAATAGATCTTGAGGATCCTGGGCTGCAGATCCCCTCCTCAGATCCTCCCCCTCTCCCAAACTGTCCCCAACCCTCCTTCTGTTTGAGTAAAGGATCAATTTACTTGCCAGCTACAGAAGAGCAGGCTAGTGCAACCACAGCCATCTCCCCACCCACAGCAGCTCCTCACAGAGTACAGATTTTCCCAGGACACCCACTACCAACACTCTTCTCACCATTGCCAAGTCCTCCTACCTGTCCTGGGGGTTGTAGGAGCTGATGATGGAACCAGCCATGGCTCGAGTGCTGGCATTGTCACTGATAGCCCCCAAGCTGACTGAGTCTTTGGGGAAAATCTCCTTCTGGACATCTGCCTGAACTTCCAGCCTGCAAGAAAGAAGAGGATTCCTCAGAAATGCCTTAGATGGTCCCTGAGGGGCATCAAACAGTTGCTGTTCACCATGGGAAAGCAAGAGGTCCTCTGTGCTGGCCCAGCTCGGTGTAACAGAGTTTAAGCCCAATGGTTCCTCTCATTTTTGGCTCCATTTAGGTAAACCCATTCTGTTTTCCATGACGAAGGTAAAATTGTGTTTATATCTGTGACTCACACAATTCCTGCGAAGAACCAATTTCCACAGATCAAGCACAGAGCCACGATTATATCCTGGCTGCCGTATCAACACGTGTCTCTAATTACCCAGCAAAATGACTCACAGGCAAGTTGAGAGGAAAACTGTGGTGTAACCTCCTGACTTGGAAAGCAGTGACCCTGTTTGCTACAGGCCACTGGAGAAGAGGAAGCATCAAAGCTTCTAGGCTGAGATCAGAGGACTGGAAGATCTTTAAGCAGGCCACGCAGGCATCTCTGCGCTGTTCCTAATTAAGCTGAAGCATCAGCTCCGCAGTTTTAAGGAGCTCAGTAGGGACAGAAGCTTTACTTGTTTGTCCTCTTTGCAAGAACCAGCCTAGCACTGACTCCAGAAGTAGCCTGTTCTGCTGGGACTGGTTATTCAACAACAGACCAAGAAGTAAAAATACTAGGGCATGACTCCCAAGTTAAAGAAGGATCATTCACAGTCCTGTAAAGCTCCCCAAAATAAGACTGTTCAACCAACATGGGCCTTGGGAGCTTCTACTCCTTTCTTGCTGTGCCCATAAGTTCAGTTACCTGCTGTATTTCCCTTTGCCTCCCAAGAGGACACCCCCGCTCAGGGTACCACCCGAGAGGGCAGCGAAGCTGGCTGTCTCGCTGTAGTTGCCCTGCATGACGCTGAGCCCATCAGTGGGGCTGCCGCTGGTGCTCAACACGCTGGTCAGCCCCTCAATGCTGCTTTCACCAATGCTGGGGTTCTTCAGGGCTCGCCAGGCATCAGCCACTGCGGGGAAGAACAGCACAGGGATTGGAATCAGCCAGGGAATTGCTGGGCTGCGATGGAGCTGGTAGGAGGTCAGGCAGCATGTGTCTCAGATGGGTCTCCCTGTCTCATCCAGGGCAAGGAAGAGCTGAGATTTTGGTCACAGCAGAAGACTGAAGCAAATAACCGCTTCTACCCAAACCCAGGTAAAGACAGATGTTCAGATTTGGGAAATTTTCAAGACCCTCTACCATTTAATTACAAGAAGTAACAACAGGATCTTGCTTCAGCGCCTTCCCTTCACCAGTTATCACGTTACCTGTGATCGGTCCATCATCTTCATCAAACTCGATTTTCACACCCTTTCCGTTGGCGGTGCTAACTCCACAGCCACCGCCTCGGCACAGCGAGATCGGCACGACACCGTAGACGTAAGCCAGCATGATGGGGACTCCAATACCTGGAGAGTAGGATGTGCTGAGTTAAGAGAAGCTGAAGGCTGAGCTGTGTTGGGCAGACAGGACTCTTTGGGGTAGGGACTCCCCCAGTTGTGTTGATGCTGCTTTTAAACACAGAAAAGTCCTAGTTCATGACTTTGCAGACAGACAGCAGAGGGGTCTTTCCTTTGTGCTGCTGCAGTAGAGAATGAGGGGACCCCAAAAGCACAGACAGCCTCAGCTGAACCTCCAAGACATCAAACATCAAACCAGTCCATGGGTAAGAGACATCTCCATGTGCCAAGGGACCCTGCTACAGGCTGTGGCACAGGTGACTTGTGCTCCAGAGAAGCCCTGTGCTGGCTCCAGGCCAACTCAAGCACATGAGGACCAGCAGTCTGGATGTGAAATAGAGGGATGTGCCCAGAAGAGCACACAGCATCAGTCTGCAAACTGCCCTTTGGCCACCCCTAACCTCACAGGGCTGGGCCATCCCTCTGTCTTGGTGACTACTGGCCCACCAGAAGGGAAAGGGACCGTGTTCACTTACCAACACTGACAGCAGCAATGACTGGAGAGGCAATGACAGACAAGGTGACCCCACCAGTAATGGCCAAGTTCCTCTTGTGCTTCGAGGTTTTCTTTCCCTCGTACCTGCTGTGGATCTGATGGAAAGAGAAGCACCAGGTGAGAACAGAGCCTGGCCATGAGCCTACACCAGCAGAAGACATTAAAAAGCTTGTGGTTTTACAGCCTTGTCAGCTGCATTAGCCCTTAAAGAACCTCATGTTGACCATAGATCTCCTCATAGATCAGAACTAGAAGGTGGGTCTGTGTTTAAGAAAAAGAAGCAGCTACAAATAGAGTGCTGACATGTCACTTCTTCCCTCTCAACATCTCTTTATCAGCACAGGCACACAACAGCATCACACAGTTTGGGGCAGCGGGTCAGTGTCAAAACACACGTGACTTATACAAGCCAAAGTGTGATGCTCGGGGTCCAGCCACTGTCCCATGGAGCTCATCATCACAGAACACGTTTGAAAAGGACCAGGTTTCTCCTTGGGTGCTCCTGGTACAAGGTAGAGGCACAAGAGCAATGCAAAATGCATTTGAGAGGACTTCAGCCTGAAGAGCTATCAGCCACCACCTTCCCTCTCCCCACACAAAGCCCAAAAGATAAGACAAGGTTTAGAAGAGACAACTGAATTTTGGTTCAATGACAAGATCCACCCTTCATATCAGCTCTGAATTTCTGGTCAGATGCCTTGAGAACAGAGAACACCCCAAAAGCCCCAGATCCCTCAGCTCCAGCCTTGTTCTCTCCACACTTACCTTCCTCCCGACATACACGGGGATGCCAATGACCATAGCAGGAATGGCAATGCCAGCAATGAGGGAAATGCCTACAGGAGCACCGATCAATGTGCCCAGCTGCCAGAGAATCTTCTTTTTACGACTCCATGGCTTTTTGCCCCAGAATGTACAGCCAGAGGGGCTTAATGGAGGGGAAAAAAAAAAATTACATTAACACCACAGCAATTCCTAAGTGTTCCTGAGAACCCCAAGTTCAACTTCCACAATAAACAAAACCCCAAAACTCAGGAAGCGGGCAGATGACACAAAAAAAGGTTTCCCTCTTTTTCCCCTCATTGAGATTAATTTGCTCAAGGTGATTAACACACTACCAGATCTATGTTTAATATCCAATATGCTGAGAGTTTTCTAATGCAATTGTAGCAGGAGCTTTTCTTGGTGTGGAAGAGCATCCTCCTACTGTAAAGCAGGAAGAAAGTTCAGCTCTTTGGGTCAGAAAAGAAGAAAATTTTGCTGACTGATTGGAGAGGCAAGAGGACAAAAGGCCAACACATGAAATCAACTCCTCCATCCAGTCTCAGAGAAGCACGTGCCACCCCACCAGTAGGATCCCAGGTGTGCTTGCTCCCCTCCTCACCTGAGGTAATGCAGATCTGAGATCTCCTTCATACAGAGCCAGCAGAACTCGCAGCCACACACCGCGCACGTCATGTGGTTACAGCTCCCGTCGTTCATCTTGATAATGTAAGCGCTGCACCGGGGACACGGCTTGATGTCATCAGCTACAGGGAGGAAGCATGGGATTGAGTTGGACTCTGTGCTGCAAGCATGGAAAAATCAACGAGGGAGTTCTCGTTATGGATTGAAGCCCTTGTTGTCTGTGTGGGCAGAACACCTCTGCTAATCACAGATAAAGTGGGGATGGTTGGGTCTTTATCTTCAGAGTGGGAAGATAATATTGATGAGACAAATCCCACCACAGCCCTTTGTCTGGACAGCAGGGACTGAGAACAACAGTCACTTTACAAACTTATTCTAGTCTTGAACAGGACGTACTTCAGAACACACTTAAATGCTGGGAGCAAGTCATACCTGCCCTGGGCCAGCCAAGGCAACAGCGTAAGAACAAACCATTACCAAATTGCTCCACTGAGGTGATTCACAGGCTAAGAAAGACAGAACAACTGGGAGAAACTCTGCCCAGTGCAGAGGCTGCCCAGTCCCCAGTTTGCTGCTGGCAGAGCAGGATAAAAGTCCTTCATCCCTTCCTTTAATTCAAGCATCATCTGATCGCAGTTATGCAATGGCTGTGCAGTGGTTCAGGGCTTTGCTGGCAGCCTCTGCAACACTCCACAATATGAAATCCAGCTGCTGAGACCAGCTCACACCTTATTAATCACTATATTGAATCCAGCGAGAACGGGGTGGGGAAAAAACCACTGTCTCAAGAACCTCCCTTTCAGTGGCTAAATGCTAAGCTCTTCCTGGCAGGGATCTCCTTTAAAAGGGTGTTAAAAACTCAGAAACTATTTTTTTTGCTCGCTGGTTTGTACCACAGACTGCAGCAAGATCTGTGCTGTCCATTATCAGGGACCTCTAACTGGGGCATGTTGAACCTTGACATACCACTAAGCCACCTCTGAACCACCCACAACAGTTCCATTCTAAATAAGTGTATTAACTTTTTAACTCCTGATGTAGAAGGAAAAGTGGGGTGTTTTGTTTGGGGGTAGGGTGGGACTTTATGAAATGACCTTACTGCCCACATCCAGAGTCAATACTGTTATTTTTAATGAACACTAACTCAGTAGCCACAGCAGCTCCTACCAGGCAGTGTAGGAGTCTGTGGGTTGGTATTTTTTTCTGCACCTGACATTACTAACACCTAACAGTGCGCAGAGCGAGGCTCCCCACACTCAGCCAGGCATCAACACTTCTCTTTACTACCACAGCAGGAAAATTTGAAGTTGCAAGACTAAAAAGTGCCTATTTGTTCAGGGTTTAGATCAGCAAGAAGTGAGAACATCCAAGATCAAAACAGCCACAAGCCTAGATGGGGTGGATGAGGGGAGCTGCCATGATGTGGAAAGACACAAAATGCATCATCACTTACTGATGTAGGTGATGAACTCTTGGAGGAGCCCATCGGATTTGTTCTAACACAGGGGAGAAGGGGAAATGACTGAATTTTACAGCTATTCTCACTCGTGGCTGCTGGAGATCCTCAGCTGTGCATTCCCCACAGGGCACTAACATACCCCTGCTTTGATGGGACAGGGTTTGCACACACGGGTGGGCTCTTTCTCAGTTCACAGGTATGAAGTGCTGCACCAAGTAACCAAATGTCCTGGTTTTTAGCTGAAATAGAGCTGTTTTTTTCTTTTTAGTAATTAGAAGAGTGATATTTTGGTTTGCAGCCTATGAGAGACATTGATAATGTACCAGTGTTTACATTTTTGTCACTGGAAGTGAAGGACTTTGTGTTGTTAGTCCACAAGCACAAGATTTAAGGGGGGGAGAAGAATATCTAAATTAATAAACTTAATTGACAGTTAGATATGCCAATGGGCTATTCCATATCATATCACGTCATGTCCACTATGTTAGTGAGGGTCTCTTCCCCTTTTAGCTCTCTCCGGCTTTCACTCAACCTCTCGTTCTTCCGGGATTGCAGTTTCAGTTCGGGATTGTCGCTCCTCTGGAATCGTTATCTGGGAACAGGCCGGGCTCGGTCAGGAGGGGGGTGAGCTATAACTTTGGGTGTCATTCACTTGCATATTTTGTTGCTGTTAT